TATATCAATAAAACTTAGCACAATGCATACGAACGCCATTTTACTCAAATAAACACAAAACAATTGTTTATGCAAAAAAATTTCTTTCTTGATCGAACGGAATTTCAAAGATATTCTTGAGATAATGTTTAATAAAATAATAAATTGAATATGAGCGTTTGATAAAACAATTGTATGTCCTTTATTTCATCAATTTATCTCGAATTTAAAATATTTCTTTTCTTTTTTTTTTTTTTTTTTTGAAATTCGATGTTACTTTAATAAAAACATTTTCACATTGTAATTTAGATGCCTTTTTATTATAAATCAAGCTTGAATAACTTTTAATCCAACTTTCATTCATAATAATTTAATAAAGTCAAGTTGAATATACTTTTTAGATTTAGATCGATTTTAAATGCAAATAAATTCGATTCGAATTAATGAAAATGGGAATTTCTTAAACTTAAGCAAAAATACAATAAGTTTAAAATAAACCAAGGCCTTTCAGAGTAAGTTTTTGAACCAAACTGATCTCTTTAAATGAATTCCAGTCCTAATTGAACAAAAATATTGTTATATTTATACATCCCATCAAGATATCATGCCGTAAAATTGTTCTATATCCGATCTGCTCATAGGAATAATACTAAAAAATCAATAAAGTTAAGGGTAACTGTGTGTGATGCTGTTTATTGCCGTTCCACCATAGTCATTGCTATAATACATAGTACATAATACATATTACATGAATTCTAGTATTGTACGTTTTTTGAGACTATATATGGTAATAGAGGAACACATGGATCTGATACAAGGCGAAAGAAGGTAGTACAGGTTGTACTTGTATTTGCGCATCTTTCATTGTTTCACAAAATTCATTCCGAATATAACTAACTCACATGTACTCAACCTCGCTCATGATTCATATCAATCGAATTAATTTCTTTAGCTATACATAGCAAATAATAGAAGGATTTATTGTTTCCCGATATGAATATAAAACATTAGCTAGCTGTTCTCTGTTAAAAAGTAACTTGATTCATGCTGCCAATATTTAGCTAAGAATAATGCGTTGAACAGTTCTATTAGATCATATTCAAAGCAAGTAAATCAAAGGATAGTTTCATATTCGTTTCAAATCGACATAATAGAGTCCTTTTTCCTGAATGAAATGAAATCGGGCTGCATCAGAGCTGTCAACAGACCACTTTTTTCAGCCTGACCTGCAGGCCAAACTAGGCGAACTACTGTTTCATACTTTCTGTTATTATGAAATTTACAAAATGGCATTAATCCATTGTATACGTTTCAATTTGTAATCCGACTTGTTTTCATGGAAGCAATAGAATATAGTATGTTAATTCTCAAGTAAGAGCATTCATGCATGAATCAATTTTAGGATTGGTTTTATGAAAATCTTTAACACATGAATATAGGTCGGAGTTCTGAAATGAATTACTTCCAAACATGTAGTCAATCAAGCAAATGTTGAAATTTAGAAATTTATGTGGAGATATTTGAATTTTTTGGAATAAAATTATAACTATGTTGATATGGAATGTGTCAATTTTGGTGACCGATTAATTCGTCACACATATATTATAGAGAATACATTAATAAAATTTAGTGATGCAGTTTAGTACGTTAATTAATTTATTGCCTTAACAAAAATTTTTCTTTACACTCTTGGGAATCTTTTCAGAATACAATAGGTTTTTTTTCTAAATATAATAGATATATCGATTTAAAGTTTATTTCAAAATTTATTTAAAAAAATCGAAGTTTCATTTTAAATAGAATTCTATGTACAAAAATTAAAAATGAAGTTCATTTTTCTATCGATGTGAAGCTAGCACGACGACCAATCAGTGATGACCTTTCCATCAACCAATCAGATATCGCGCATTCTTTACCATGCATAGTCCATAAAATACCTCATATCACCTCCTTAGCAACCAACTCCATTTCCCCACTAATCAATGAAAAGTTACTGCCTTTTCATTACCAACAACCAAAAACTTTATACCAGACATCAAAAAAACTATTCCACAAAACAAAAAACTTCATTCATAAATCAATATGAATCAGCTACCGCACGACGAATTACCACGACGAATTACCACGACGAATTACCACGACGAATACACAGTGCCACAATTCCAAACTTATTTTCTCTCCTCAGGAATATCTCCCGAAGATGAGTTATACTTCATTTGATTCAGAATTTAATTCTGCATTCAATGATCTATAATTCAATGACGGGACATATTTCCGAAGAGAGCACCATTCGTTCCGAATATCGGTACGATGGTAAAAAAATATGCCGTTCAGAGATTTCAACGGCTATTCTCTCTCTTCAAAAATATGTCCCGTCCCTCATTCATACATCAATTTATGCAGAATTCCATTCTGTATTCAATGATGTATAATTCATTGACGGGACATATTTCGGAAGAGAGCACCATTCGTTTCGAATATCGGTACGGTGGAAATAGAATATGCCGTTGAGGTATTTCAACGGCTATTTTCACTCTTCAGAAATATGTCCCGTCCATCACTTATACATCATTTGATGTAGAATTTAATTCTGCATTCAACGATGTATAACTCAATGACGGGACATATTTCGGAAGAGAGCACCATTCGTTCCGACTATCGGTACAATGGAAAAAAAATGTGCCGTTGAGGTATTTCAACGGCTATTTTCACTGTTCAGAAATATGT